TGTACAGATTTGTGAGGAGAGATGTATTCCATCATCTCCTAGTGCTTTAAGGCTTTCTATTGGAATATCGTCTGGACCCCTAGCTTTGTTGTTGACAAGGGTGTTCGTCGAGATGCAATATGTGGGAATTAAAGTTGAGAAGCTCCTGAAAATATTCTTTCCATCTATTCATTATTTCTTTTTCCTTTATTATCAATTTCCCATCTTTATTTTTGATTACTTTCGGAGCTCCGTTTATATCCCTAGAGTTCTTTTCTCGCTGTTTGGCTAATCTGTATATTTTATTTTGCCCTTCTTTGGTATGTAGATCTTCGTACATGTCATCGTATGCCATAGATTTGGCCCTAGCCACCGCCTTTGTAGCTATTCTCTTGGATTTTTTGTAATTAGTCTTGTCATCTGGGTTTTTGGATTTGTACCATATTTTATATAGGGCTTTTTTTCCTTTATAGTGGTTTGTACCTCTTCATTGCACCACCATAGTTCTTTGTATGATTTATTGCCTCCCCTTGTCAAGTCTAGTGTCGATTTGGCAGTGTCTATTAATCTGGATGAAAGGTCTGTCCACATTTTTTCCCTGACTTGTGAGGAATCTATTGTTTCAATATTTGCATTGATTGCAAAGGCATCTGTCATTGTTTTTAATTTTCCCCATTTGATGCATGGTTTTAGTTTTATCTTGTTTTGAGTGGATTTATTTGAGATGTGTAAATCCATGACTGTTGTGTGCGGCGATATCTTCTCGGGATGACTTTGCAGTCTATTACATCTTTTAATCTTCTGCGAGAGATTCGCATGCAATCTATCTGTGTTGTACCACTTTCGTATGTTATTAAATGACTGTGTTTTTTCCTATAGTAGGTGTTGGTCAAGGCAAGGTCGAAGGCTTGCGCAAATTTCAGTACGTGCTCTCCTTCATCATTTCTTTCTCCGTATCCAAAACCACCATGATGCCTTTTGTAGCTATCTCTTGCTTTCCCCACATGCGCATTTAAGTCACCACCAATTATGACTAGGTCATCCTAAGGGATTTCCATTACAGCTTCATCAAGGATAGCTCTAAGGTCATCTTTCTCTTCTTCCTTGCAACCCATTTGAGGAGTATATACTGAAAGGATGTGTGGTATTGATTGACCAATGCAGAGTTTTATCTTCATTAGTCTATCAGAGATCCTGATAACTTCTACTACCGAGGAAGTTAGATCTTGACGGAGGATGATGCCGACACCGTTCCTATTGCTAACAATTCCATTATAGTGCAATTTATACCCATCTCCAATCACTAAAGTCTTCTGACCTTTCCATTTCGTCTCTTGTATGCACGCTATATCAACTTTTCTCCTGTTCAACATTGATGCCAATTCTCTCGTCTTACCTTTAAGCGTCCCAATATTCAAACTTGCCAGTCTTGTCTTCTTTGCTTTGACCTTTACTTTATTTTTCACAGGATGGAGGTCTACACCCTGCGCGTCGCATGGAGGGAACGCCCTAGCTTTCATATTCATATTTTCATTTGTGTCCTTACCGTTCCTATTGCTAACAATTCCATTATAGTGCAATTTATACCCATCTCCAATCACTAAAGTCTTCTGACCTTTCCATTTCGTCTCTTGTATGCACGCTATATCAACTTTTCTCCTGTTCAACATTGATGCCAATTCTCTCGTCTTACCTTTAAGCGTCCCAATATTCAAACTTGCCAGTCTTGTCTTCTTTGCTTTGACCTTTACTTTATTTTTCACAGGATGGAGGTCTACACCCTGCGCGTCGCATGGAGGGAACGCCCTAGCTTTCATATTCATATTTTCATTTGTGTCCTTCATTTTGTTTATTGGACAGGTATCCTTAGCACCCTGCTGTCCAGGCCTGTCGGTGACCGGGGTGTCATCTCTAAGCTCCGAAATTCATCATACCATATGTCTTTACTCATCAGTCATCGAAGAAGAACTTGAAAGTTTTTATGGTTCTTACCAGGATTGAACCCGCGTCCTTGTTCATGCTCGTGTTTCCAAGCCTACATCTTACCCATTAGGCCACCCCGGCGATACTAATGATTATATATATGGATATTTTATTATATGTTTTATTGATGAGTATAATAATTATGTACGATAAACTTCTTAATATTTTATGTATTCATTTATCCATCACATATATATATATATATATTTCCTATTGTGAAAATGGAGGAATAAAATGTCAGAAAGCCAATTGTATAATTGGCGACGGAGAAAAAAGAAAAGAACATATAATGTGAAGCCATTGGGTTTTATCAAATTAACTATGGAAAATTATTGGAAAATATCATTTCAATGGTATTATTTCGAAAATACATTAATGGTATATGAATTTATTATTATGCAATCTTGTCTTGAAATATGAATTATGAAAAACAATAATTGATTATACTATGAAATTCCAGAAGAGTGAATGCACACAATTATTAAAAATGAGAAGGATAAAATTATGAATATGTAGAAATCTGTTGATAATAATTTAATAATCATTTGGATGTATATGAATGATACTATGGTATAATCTATTACTTATGGAAATATGGTTTGTGGAAATCTGTTGAATAATTTAACAATCATTTGGATGTATATGATAATATGGTATAATCTATTACTTATGGAAATATGATGGTACAATCTTTTACTTATGGAAATATGGAAATTGATTACTCTTTGTTAAATGGATGTTATTGGAACAATTATATGGGAAAACATGGAGATTGATTTATGGATTATGGAATTTAGAAATAGAGAAAAGGGTTACTGATAGAACCTGACTTATTTTGACATTATGAAAATGGATACTGATAAATATACTTTACTAATTAAGACTCTATTGGGGCTTCCGTGAGCCAAATGTAGTCGTATTTGGGTTAAGGAACTACTTCTTATAAGATGTAGGGATTTAGATCACCTCATGGGCCATCCAAGGATGATAGCGATCTCTTGGCCAGCTCTAAGATAATAGTGACCTCGTGGGCCATTCAATGATGACAGTGATTTCTTGGTCAGCTCTAGGATAATGTTGATCTCGTGGGCCTTTCAAGTACGATGTCTACCAATACACTCTATAACGATTCTCCGGTGGGAGATCCATCGATATTGATTCTTCGGTGGGAGATCAAGGCATAAACTCGATAGTGATACTCCAGTGGGAGATCCATCGATATTGATTCTCCGGTGGGAGATCAAGGCACAATGACTCGATAACGTTACTCTGGTGGGAGATCCATCGATATTGATTCTCCGATGGGAGATCAAGGCATTGCTCGATAACGATTCTCCGGTGGGAGATCAATCTACAAGGGAAACGATATTGATACTCCGGTGGGAGATCAATCTACAAGGGAAACGATATTGATACTCCGGTGGGAGGTCAATCTACAAGGGAAACGATATTGATACTCTAGATGAGATCTATCATCAAGGAAAACGATATTGATACTCTAGGTGAGATCAATCAACAAGGAAAACGATATTGATACTCTAGATGAGATTAATCAACAAGGAAAACGATATTGATACTCTAGGTGAGATCAATCAACAAGGAAAACGATATTGATACTCTAGGCGAGATCAATCTTACCAAGGCAGCGGTAAATGAAGACCAAAGACTAGAATGGATATTTTATTATATGTTATGAGTATAATAATTATGTACGATAAACTTCCTAATATTTTATGTATACATATATCCATCACATATATATATATTTCCTATTCTGAAAATGGAGGAATAAAATGCCAGAAACCCAATTGTATAAGATATATTTGTTGGTTGATTGGGGGTGTAATTAGATCTAACAGGAGTTCCCCATAGATTTCTTATCAAGATTTTGGCTTTAATCATTCTGTGGTCGGATAGGTTTATATTCATCATAGCCATCACATTTTTGAACCAACCATGAACATTTGATATGATAAAATCTATCTGCGATCTGTAGCTTCCTCTTTTAAAGGTGAAAGTATTCGTCTCTCTATGAGAGAAAAAGGTATTTTCAATTTTGAGATTTTTACTAATTAATTATTCAAGTATTTTCCTGCTATCATCTCCATTTGGTTGAGCGAGAGTTGCATTACCAATTATGTCTCTTCTTTTATAAATTTCCTCTAAACCAATCCTAGTGTTTAGATCGCACATCAAAATTATATTATATCTCCTGGGTAAGGCATTAATTATATTTTCCAGACCATCTAAAAAGGGTAGTCTGTCTCTCCTATTTGGAGGTGCGTATATATTTACTAAAATAGTTGGTCTAAAATTTGTGTTAACATATAATAATCCGCATCTTTCAGAAAATATTTAACTATATAGCTGTATATTTTTTTGTTAATCAGAAAGCCAACACCGGACCAACTATTTACAGTAGTACCAGAGCAGTATAAGAATAAGTGGTTGAATGTAGCAGTGGTGTTTCCCTGACTATGAGTTTCCTGTAAAGCAATAATGTCCGTTTTCTCATCTGTCATAAGTTTGTAGAATAGCAAGTTTATCTCGTAGACCATTTATATTCAAGGAAGATATAAGTAATTGTCCTTGCATGTCTCTGCTAAATTGTATTGACCCGAGTATACAGTGTTGTGATGATTTAATGACACATATTGAGGATTAAATTTTAACCCATTCATGTATAATTAAATTATTTCTTTTATTGTACATTTGTAAAGATTATAATTATATATGCATGTGTTTAAATTAAGTCGTCAATATGTTAAATTAAATACTCATAACACTGTATTAGGTATGCAACGATAAAAATAAATTATTACAATAAAATTTAAGAATTAAAATTTTAGCGGAAAATATGAGAAAAAGTATTAAATTTAAATCATTTCCGTTTAATAATAGGCATTATTCATTAGAAAATAAATAAATAAAACATGCCAAAATCCAAATAAATACGTCATAATGATAGATGCAATGACATTATGTCATTGGATAGATGATAATATTAAGGAAATATATAAACAACGTTTAACGTTACCCATAGCTACATATTTTTTAACCTTTAGTTTTTACATGGTTCTCCAACATGCACCCTGCAATTAAAACTTTATTAATTTATAGTGCCATTCTAATCGTTTCACCATTATATATATTCTTTATAAGCAAATACTTGTGTGACAGTAAGTTTTATTTTTTTTTAAATAAATTATACAATTCAGAAATTTAGTAGTCTTTATCGAAATATATAAATGTATTTTTATAAAAGAATTTTGTATTAAATATAAAAGTAAATAAGTTTAAACCAAAAATTATATTTATATTAATATAAACTATATTTAAAATCCAGTGCTCTTAGCCTAAGGTATTGCGCACTGGTTTGCCCAAACTGGTTGTTAAACTTTGAAATACTACAGACCAAAGATAATTAGTAGTGGAACAGTATGTTAACTTTTTCCTAAAATGCAATTTTAAAAATATAAATCAGATTAAACTAGTTCCTAAAATTTAATATATATTGAATATCCACATATATATATAGCAAAACATGATTAATATTTGTAATTCTACTTATTGGCTAAGGTCGGGATTTCTCTATTAGGTAAATATATATAATTAGTTTTATTATGATTGATGCAATATTAATTTATTTGCTTTGTTAATTTTAATTTATATAAAATATCTTCCCCTCCATTATTAATCCTCAAATTTGGAACCAACTTCAATTATTCTATTACAATTAATGTCCATTTCATATAATATATGACTAAACTTCAACTATTCAATCAACTTCTCCATATTTAGCGGACAGGATCATAATTGATGATCAATACTTTATTTAGATTCCTCATCAAATTCCATGTCAAATCAATTACAATTCAGTTGGATTTTTTGATTATTGCCAAATTTTATACACAATATAAGTTTTTATAACTTGATCTTGGTTCAAATTTTTACTTTTAATATAGGTAAAACACAAAAAATTATTTCATTTACATGGATCAGTTTTTATTTAATTATCAACTGATTAAAACTCAGAAATTTATCATTACTTAAGCTCACATTTTACACTGAAGCTACCAAGAGCTGAAATCATGACAATTTGTGAAAAAAAATTATGGATTATGAAAAATAAACCCAAAATGATATAAAACTAATTACTTTTTATTCTCATTAGAAATGCACTGGTACCAGATTTTTAGCCAATACCTTAACTTATATAATGATACCAAAAATAATATATTTATATTGAAGAATATTTTCATATTTATAATTTATCAAATTTGTAAAACTTTGATTAATAGCCAATGCCAACTCTAGTCTTTTCTAGCATAACATACATCATTTAGCTGGAATCCAATCTTATGTGCTATTGCACCCCCCCCCCAATACCCCTCATTTGGCTGAGTATATATTTATATAAAGGGTGTACTGATACCACTAGGCTGATCTGATCCGATATTCCTGATATTATATTGATATCGGTCGAATACCGATCCAATATCATATCTAATTTTGTATTTGTAAACAATGGTTTTAATTTTTAATGTACTTTTTATTAATATAACATCTATAATTTAATTATACCGTAACATTCATTTAAATATATTATAATGATCAGTTATAATTTATATTCAATTCAATTGCAATTCTAAAAGTATATAAAATATTTTTATTGATAAATTATTTATTTATATAATAAGTAATAATATTAATCTATTTACATAATAAGTAATAAACAAAGATATTATGAAATTTGAAATAAATATTTTAAATTAATATATCAAGGATTTTTTTTTAGAAATACCAAAATTTCCAATTTATCAGAGGTCAGTCTGCAATGATGAGGAAATATTTTATTTTTGTTAAAAACGCTATTTTTTATCGGATCGGATCGGAAAATTTTATAATATTTGCCTATAACCGATATTTTTAAATGGGTGAAATATCGACCCAATCCGATCTGATATAAAATATCGGTACATCCATAATTTATGTTATAATAAATTTGGCCCAAAACAAGGGTATATTGTGAGGGGGCTATGGGGACTAAGTCTACTACTAATTTATTGTTGATTCTTAGTTCCCTTTCCAAATTTTGAGGATTCCCATCAAAAATTTTAAATATTTTTTTAAATGTTAAATTTGAATTCATTTTCTCTTTATTATTGTTATAAAGATTAAAATTTTTATATAAACAAAAATCTTTTTCCTAGCCACATAGAAGAGAGAAGCGGCCAAGGTATATTTAAAAACAATAAATTACATACATGGGCCAAGGTTACTGATTTTTATACAAATTTTATAAGTCGTTGCCATTTCTGCTTTATTTAAAGTATAGAGTGAGACTCACCAGCAGCAAGTAGTGATAATAAATAGCTCTATTTTTATCAGTTTAGGGCCAATAAGGCTAAATCAAATTTTTAAGCAAAAAATATCATCTTAGCTTTGATCAAGGTTTAAACTTATAAGGCTTAACAAATCAACATTGAGCTGATTTAACAACACCATAAGCAAGAAATAATTCAATTTTAACAAAATCTTCTAAATATTTAATTTTATTAAAATTTTTATAAATAAAAAAATATAATATTGTAATATATTTTAAAAAAATATGTATTCTTTTGGTATTAAATTTTAAAAATCTATTGAGTATAACATGATGTCTTGGGGCAATATGTAAGTAAGCAGCCTTTGCAGATATGATTATTATTAGGATGCTATTTGTAAAATGAACATTTTATTTGGGTCATTCCATGTCAAATGAGCAAAAAAATCAAGATTTTCAGCCGACCCCTTTCAATTTTGATAAAAAGTTGTAGACTGGTTATATATGTTTCCATTAGATTATAAACAAAATTTTAGCGCATTAGCAACTATATTAGCGGAGATAGGGGTTAAAGATCCAAAAAACGCCTTTTTTTCCTTTTTACTGATGTTAAATAATTAGTTTTTAATTTAAAACTAAATATGATCAAATATTGAATCTAGTATCAATAGCTAAGTTAATAATTGATAATTATGGCGAAAACATCAAAAATAATTTTTTTTTAAATATGGGTCATCTTATGGTCAGTTGAAAACTTGAAATTAATATTTCGAAATGTATATGATCTCCGATTTTTAATTTTTTTAAGAAATATTATCTGTTTACTATTTTTTTAATAATTTCTTTAACAATTAGCATGGCTGGATATTTATTTAAAAAAATATTGCGATTTTTATACTTTTAAAAAAATAGATGGCGCTATATATAATAGTTTTAATATGTTAAAATTCATTTTTTTTATTGATTAAAAATATTTTAATGTATAATAGATCATAAAATTCGATTATATAACTTTGTAAACCTTATTCCCCTGAGATATTCGCAAATAAAAAATTTTAATAATTTTTTTAATATTTCAAATGAAAATTAAAATAATTAAAAAATCGGACTAGCACACGAACAAAAAAGCAGGATTAAAGGAGTGCAGGAAAATTATTAAGGGAAAAATCGGAAATGACATTAATTACCAGGTCTACCCCCAATCCCCCCCCCCAGACTAAGTCATACCCATCAAGACCAAGAATGTTATGAAATTGTCATTATCTTACATTATTAAAATAACCAGAGATAAAGAAAATTTCAAAGATTTTGAAAAATTTTTTAAGCAATAAAAATAACAAAATTATAGTTCTGATGAAATAAGCCGACTCATGCCTGGAATAAAAGATTTTGTATCTGTTAAAGGCGAGAAAGAATCAGCAAAGATTTATATTAAATAATCTTAAAGAAATATTCAAGATGTTTAAGGAAGAATACCCAAGTATATCAATTGGATTCTCTAAATTTGCCGAACTTAGACCAAAAAACTGAATTTTAGTTGGATGACACACACACTGTTTGTGTCTGCGCCATTCATCAGAATGTGAAATTAATGACAAATGTAATAGCTGAAATTACAGCAGGAGAAGATTACTGTATAAATTCTTATAACAATCTTTTGGCGCAAATTATTTGTAATCCATCTCAGCCAAAATTTATTTAACAAATTGTGATCAATGCTTTGGTATAGAATCTCTTATGGGCCAATTATACGAATTGTTTCAGAGAAATCGTATAGAATATGTCACGTTTAAACAATGGATCACGGTGGATAGAGCAAATCTTGAAACTATTATAAAGTCCATTGATGGTTTCATCGAATATCTATTATAAAAAGTTCAAATTTTACTGCGTCACTCGTTTATAGCTAAACACAAAGTTTATTTTTGAAGAATTCCAAAGAAAATTTAAAAGATAAGGAATTTTTAACAATTCTAGATTATTCTGAGAATTATTCCTTCATTTTACAAGATGAAGTTCAGGGATTTCATTGGAACAATGTGCAGGTCACTATACATCCATTTGTAGCATATTATAAATCTGGAGAAGAATTAAAAAAATATAAATTTTGTTATTTTGTCCGAATCATTAAGCCATAATACTAGTGCAGTCCACCTTTATCAAAAAAAAGTCATTAAATTATTAACAGCCAAATTTAATTATAAACCAGAAAAAATAATATATTTTTCGGATGAAGCCGCGTCTCAATACAAGAATCGCAAAAATTTTCTGAACATATGCCTTCAAATATTCCTGCCGGCAAAAATGCATGTGACGGTATCGGAGGAACTGTCAAAAGATTAGTTGCCAGAGCTAGTCTTCAAAGGCCAAATAAAAATCAAATCCTAACCCCATTAGAATTATATAATTATGCTAAAGAAAATATTAATATTCAATTTGAATATGTATCCAATCAAGAATATATCGAAGAGGAATTAACCCTTCGTAAAAGATTTAATTCTGCACTGCCCATACATGGGACCCAAAAAATTCACGGGATTATTCCCATTGATCAAAATAGACTAAAAACCAAAATATATTCTAATTCCAAAAAATATAATATAAAACAAGTTTCGTTTTTAAATGAGAAAATTTTATTTTAAAATATTAATCGATATATAACATGTTTATATGATGATAAATGGAGGTTAATATATAATCGATAAAAGTGATACAAATGAAGAAGTAAAAATCCTATTTTTACACCCTTGTGGACCTTCAGCCTCATTTAAATTTCCTCTGAAAGTAATATTTTAGTTTTGCTTAAATCTCATATTCTCTCGCTGGTCAATCCCTCTACTCCCACCAGTCGAACATATATATTATCTCCTGAAGAATCTCACAAGCTAGCCAGGCTTTGTATTCCTTTAGATGAAGTAAGATTTAATTAATTTATAAACTATCTTAATTAGGCAAAATTTGTGAAGATTTTAAAAATTTATGATCTGAATTACAAATAATATATATAATGCACATTGTAATCGATTTAGTATGATATATATATACATTAAAATATTTTTAATCAATAAAAAAAATAAATTTTAACATATTAAAACTATTATATATAGCGCCATCTATTTTTTTAAAGTATAATAATCGCAATATTTTTTTAAATAAATACCCAGCCATACTAATTGTCGAAGAAATTACTAAAAAAAATAGTAAACGGATAATAATTCTTAAAAAAATTAAAAATCGGAGATCATATACATTTCGAAATATTAATTTCAAGTTTTAAACTGACCATAAGATGACCCATATTTTATCAAAAATTAATTTTGATGTTTTCGCCATAATCATCAATTATTAACTTGGCTATTGATATTAGATTCAATATTTGATCATATTTAGTTTTAAATTAAAAACTAATTATTTAACATCAGTAAAAAGCAAAAAAAGACGTTTTTTAGACCTTTAACCCCGAATATCTCCGCTAATATAGTTTCTAATGCGCTAAAATTTTGTTTATAATCTAATGGGAACATATATAACCAGCCTACGAATTTTTATCGAAATCGAAAGGGGTCGGCCGAAAAGTGATTGATTTGACATGGAATGACCCATTTTTTATACAAACTATTATAAAAAAATACCTCGTTTTATCATATTCCATTTTATGCCTATTAATAGAATGACGATGAACAGTGTTGTGCAGATTTGATAAAATACATTTTCATTCAATCTGCACATCACTTCGATTAATGGGCAGCCATATCTTTTCCTCAATTGTGGGGTAAAAGAAGGATGGTGGGTATAGGGAATGTAAAAAAGAAATATATATCCCTCAGTAATTTTATTCTTTTTCGTAACTATGGCTAACCACTAATCATCATAAATATATATATGCTAGATCCTTTATTTAAGAGCATGGTCTAGACTGGTCTTTTTTCTATATATAAGTTTATGACGATTTTTAGTGGTTAGCCACAGTACTAAAAAAGAATAAAATTACTGAGGAGATATGTATTTCCTTTTTCGATCCCCATGGACCACCATATCCTTCTATTTATTGCACAAGTGACATCAAATAATAATTATAGTAGATCCACAGTCAGTGACAAAATATACCTACAAATTATGGTCTCAGGAAATTCTATTAATAAGCTTAATATGGAATACGATAAAGATAAGAGATATTTTTTATAATAGATTGTATATAAAATTTTTATTTTACAATATAGTGTCCTAATAATAATAAATATTTTTATTAATATTATAATGATATTTAAATATAACATCTATATTATGTAAATTTATTTATAAAAATAATAAAAATTTTAATAAATTAGAAAAACAAAAATGGCCACGATTTTTTTTTGATTAGCAGTTAAATATGAAGGTAATAAACATTCCTAGCGAATATCAACTCCCCAAAAAATCCCTTCTCAACTATGTAAATATTTTATTTTTACTAGTAATACGGAACTTTTTGATATTTTCCAATGTCGAATTTAAGGGCTATAAAATGATATATAATTTCTAACTATATCTTAAGATTTTTTTTAGAAAACAAGATTTAATGAAATCACATATTGCGCGATTTCTCGAAGTGCCTGAAGCTAGGATTAGAATCCAATTTAATTCTGCATCATTCTTAAAATGTTTTGTTCTTATTCTTTTAAAAGAGCTTCAAACGCGAAAGACCAGTGGTTTTTAAAACAATATTGAATTTGCAGAATAAAAAGAACATTATGAGTATAAAATAAGTCTGATGAAGGGGTAATTTACTTAAAACTGGTAGTTTATAATACCTCAACCAGGGAATTACCCTATATTAAATATTACCCTATTCCTAATTAGGATTATCTCAAAAATTTAATATCCAACTTTTCACAGATTTTTAAAGCAGCTCTTAAAATAGTTTACCCTGCCTACATCAAATCCCTTAGATTTTTAAAAAATAAATATAAATTTATATGTAAATTTTTAATAGAATATATATTTTTTTAAATAATATCTTAAAATATTACATATATACAAAATAAAATTAATATTATTTTAAAAAGCATTAATTTGTATTTGACCGGTCAAATACACAACTCTGATATGTACTTTATTTATAATTTGATTTGAATAGATAAGATGGATATATTTAAAAAAAATAAAATTTGTTCAAATCCTCTTGCATTCATTTATTTATAATTTGAATCGAAATGATGACATTTCAATCGTAATCTTAAAAGATTTAATTGACATATTTTATTCGAGAAAAGACAAAAAAATAGGAATTTTTTGGGATAATAATCAATATCATACCTCAATATATTTAAAGAGTTTCCTTTTTTAAAACCCCCTTTTTACAATATAGTATTACCCATATAGTTCTCCCGTTAAGAAGTTATTTAGTTTAGCGTAGGATGTTTTTGTGTGACATCTTCTCTTAAAAGCTAATACAAAATTGATTATAGCTAATAAGTTTTGGGACGATTCTTATATTTTCATATAATTTAGATATAATTATTTATAATAGTGAATTTATTTTACTGGTAAATTAAGTCCTTATTTTACTAGTATATAATTAAATAAAGGAGAAAAAAAATATGTTTACTGACAAATAATTTAAAACTAGAAAAAATATTAAATCTGAAATTTTGTTATTATACTAGTAAAATATTTTTATAGTGGTGATTTCTAATAAAAAACTTAGAAATAAATAGAAATCAAAATTTTAATATCCTTCTATCCCCTAATGCTATAATATGTTCGCAACCCCTGTTTGAGTCAACCCCACTCCCATATTTTACCTCTCCCCACCCTCCTCCATATCCCAAACTTTCTCCCCCCGCCTTACTTAGTAGTTGCCATATAAATATTATACTTTACCTAATATACGCACCCCCATTCCCATATACCACATACCTACTTTGCTCCCAGCTTCAATATCTCTAAATTTATCTCTATCAATCTTACATTTGATCCTATGATACCATAATACTAATAAGTCATTTTCCATGACAAATCGACTAAAAGCACGATTGGACACTATTGTATTTTGGAAGGTTTTAAGCAGACACCTGCAGGCCCTGATACACGGGCCGGCCATATTTTAATCTAAATTTTTTTTAAAAAAAAAGATACCCGAGCCGAACCTTATTTTATAATCAAATAAATACATCGATTGGATATTTTAATTTTGATTAAATATATTTAGAAATTTACGAAACATCATATCAACAATATATCTCCTAATATGTCTTCTTTTTATTATAAAATTATATCTACTCAAATCAATTTACTGGATAATTTTGAAAAACATCATACCTTTGGCGTTGGCTTTTAAATATTTACAAATAATTTTAAAAAATGGAGATAGAACGTTGTAGTCTACTTTGTGCTAATAAGAATGAAAAGCTGTTATTGGTTCACCTCTTAAAAAAATTATCATTAAACTATATTAAGTTTTAAAGGGTGTTTTTAGCACTTTAATACCAATACCTGTTTATATATAACAAGTATGTTAAACGTCTCATTTTGAGTCGATTTTTATAAACGACTCAGAAAAATATTACGCCATCCTGAAGATTTTGTTCATGGAAGGAACAAAGGTCTAGACATATATTATCAAAATCTCGAGGCTTAGACCATATTTTTCTGCTAAAATATTGAGTTAGCCGTTTTAAAAAATCGGCTCAAAACGAGCCGTTTAACAACACTAATAGCAAGTCATGATTATTATGAGCACAAATTGTAAATGACAAACTAATTTATTAAAATAATATAGTTAATCAAAATCATTTTTAAATAACATAAATAAAATTAAAACTTAAAATATAAATATAAATCAAAATATAACGTAAAAATTATAAAACCTTACATTTTCTTTCTCTTCAATTATTACATTTTTGATCTCACTATTTATACTACTAAAATTTACATAGCAGGTAATTTCATATAATTATCATTTAATTTGATTACAATTTAAACCTCCCATTTACAATTAATTATCTTTATAAATTTTATATTCAAATTAACTGTTATTTTTAAAATTATAAATAACTTTTCTTTTTCATTACACTTATTTGACATTACTAAATATAGGAAGAGTTTTTTTTAAAGGTCTAACACTCAGTATAGTTAAATTATAATTTTTTAAACTTCATAGTGAACTAATGATAGCAATTCATAAAATTAACTACAAGGTTCTAACTCTATTTTTTAAAAATTACTTAGAAATGTCTTATAACCTTGAAATAATGGTGTTTATTTTAAATAATTCCTGTTTGAGTAGAGTTAGAATAGAACCCTATAATAATCAAGTATGGAGATTTTCATATTATAAAAACTTTTAATCATTTTATCTCTAGATTATTTAGTTTACACCAAGAGTAATAGTAATATTGCATCTGCAGTTGCTGCTGTTTTCACAGTTCACATTGTGTTAGCTGCATACATTTACAAAGCATTTCAGGACGATACATCTGAACAAAACAAGCTGAATCCTCTATCATCTCTATTTCCTTCCTCGCCAGATCAAAAGCCCGAGAAAATTGATTAAAATTATTGCATTGGATCGATTATTTTAGTTTAGACAATCCAAAATTGTAAATACAACATTTATACACATTAATGAAAGTTTTTATACCCTTTTAAATATTTAATTATTTTATAAAATTTAAATAATGTATAAGCAGCGCGTACGCAGGTTTGGAGGGGGATAATAAAATTTTTTAAGAAATATTATTGTTTTTTAAAAATATCAAGCATACATTTATTAGGACTAATAACTATATTTAAAACACTATTTTAAATTAATGTGAATTATAAAAAAAATTATATGTAAAAATCACTTAAATGACTCAAAATAGAAATTTGAATTTTATGAGCCTTTAAAATTTATATATAAAGTATAAAAAATTTAAATGTTGGAAATATAAATACACAAAAAATTTCTTAGGAATAATTGTATTTTGTATGTTATATATTTATAATGTAAAATCCAATCTTCGTTAGGATTGAGCTAATTTTTCAATTATCTCATCCTTGCTTGTCGTCAAATGCCTATGAATATTCAAAAGATCCAAACCTTTCAATCTACTTTCAGAAGTTGTACTTCTTGCTATGTTTTTCAGAGACATGTATGACCGGGCCAGGCCAGAAATTTTTAAAAAAAAACACCTAGGCTGGGCCTAAATTTTTTAAAAAAACATACAGGCCGAGTCTGAAATTTTTTTTAAAAAAAATATCCTGGCTGGGTTGCATATTTTAAAACAGCCTATATTTGAAATCGTTATTATTAGCTATAAAAATCAAAAATAAATATAATTTATTTTTAAAAAAGCCGGGCCGTGCCTGAAAATTTTTTAAAAAAAACCCGGGCCGTGCCCTGCAAATAGTACCTCTGCAGGGCTTTGTTATTCTTAAAAAAGACAATGTTCTCTCATTAGTTTACTAATGGGAAGAGTTGCTAATATATAAACCCTTTTAATACATAAAAATATAATCTAAAACGTGTTTGAAATAATGCAGAGCATCCATAGCATTTTTTGGAACTATATCAACCATAGTTTATCTATAAACATAGTTATTTAGCTAATAAGTCATCATAAGATACTTTAACATCTTCATGATAAAAATCTAACAAATATTTTTTTTCTATCACCATCTGAAAAAGGTTGGGAAGGCTTTTGTGGAAGTAGTATTTGCAGATTGGTAATCCCTGCATGATGAATTAAAAACCATTCATTTATTTGGGTTATAATGTATCTGTATCTAAGATATACCTTCTACTGATCCTATATTAATGTGTTAACTATGAGCTTGCCTTGCTGCAAGTCGAGGGAGACAAATATTAAACACGTATAGCTCTGCTTTTGACTCAACAAAAACATATAAAATATGAAATTCTTCATCAACATTAGCCCTAATTTCCTTGAATTCTAATAATTCTCTCCGCTATTCTCATCCTCTTAATCAAGTCAATGTCATGTTTTTGAAAAGTAATACATAAAATAGTTTTATAATTAAATAATACATTCTAATGAGAAAAAAAAATTTGGAATAAGCATTGAATCCTATAATTTTCTTGCTTCTGAGGAAATATTTCTTTCAGGCCATTTTGATATTTCTGTAATAGCAAATAATCGGCTCTTATAACTCCATAAAAGCTGTTACTGCTTGATGGTGGAGACTATCTCGTTGGACAAGGTTGCAATTTCTTTCTCCCTGTTGGACAATTTCAGAAATAATTATTATTTGACTAGAGATTTGAAAATGGTAGATAAATATTACGCCACTAAAAATTTGAAAATAATAAGTAAATATTACGCCAAGGAAAACTTGAAATCGAAATTAATTGATAAAATAACTTATTAGATGAGTGATAAATAAATGTAATTAATTATATATCTAATATGAGATAGGAATAAATATTAACAAGTATAAATTAATATAAACAAACAATAATTTTTGAAAAATATATCCGGCATCTGCATTTTTTGGCTTTGGGGGGGGGTGGATTTGCCCCCCCCCCGCGCTGCGTACGCGCCTGTGTATAAGATATTTTATTAGTTTTTTATGAACCTTTTTAAGAGATTTTATGCATTTAAAATATTTATTAACATTTTTTAAAGCGTCATAAACTGCTTAGGTCATATTTTAGCATTATAAAAAAAAATAATACAGTTAAACTTGTCAAATTTGGGCACCATTAGAACTAATATTTTTACCCAATTTACACACCTGCCCAATTTATCAACACTTTTTACCTTTAAAAAAAGCAATTTACCATCTGTTATAATTTTTAGTTTAGCAAAAAGTGAGATAATGTTGAACCATTTTCAAATAATTTTTATTAATTCATCAAAATTATGTTAGCGTTAATATATTATTTTTTTCAACTTATCAATTTTTGAGCGTATTTTAAAATTTAAAAAAAACCGATTTTACTTGAATGGTGTTTATTTGGTGATATGACTATTAAGTGGTATAATAAATAAGTTTTAAAAAACAGAAATACCTCATTTATATATTAGGAAAAAAAATAGTTTAAGTTAATATTTTTTCAAATTTTTATAAACCTTATTTTAATTTAAGAAAAATAATAAACGGAATAAATTTAAAAAATATAATTTTTTAAATAAATGTAAATGCCATTCTTTTTTTTCTATAGAAAGACGCCAATCGGAAGAATGAAATATAAAAATTAACAACCCAATAAAAAAAATTTAGTTTACATCCCAAACCAATTAATAAATATATTTTTTAAAATTTAGAAAATATAAATTTCAAATTTCTTTAAATATAGTTGAATATTTTATTTTGTATATATATTATAATAATCTATAATTACAAGTACAAGCGCAATATATTAATTCACATAATGATTTATATTTGTGAGAAAATATTATATTTTAAAATTGTATTCTCGTTTAGTTGTGAGTGTTCCAAACAGGGGCGGACTGGCGACACTACGGCCTCGTGGGCATTTTTTATAGCGGCCTCATTTATATGGGGGCTTCGCCCACATGCCCCCTTTTTGCGGGCCTTCGGCCCGCTTTTGCCCAGTCTTCAACCTGGTTCCATGGCTTCTTTGATTTACATGATTTTATTACTTCTTATTTTTTGAAAATAACTTCAAACGTTTTACATTTTTAGTAAAAAAAAAAAAGAATAGTATTATACGATAATCATATATTTTATTTAAAAAAAATGCACAAAAATCATATTCATTACCTATATAAAATAATATTCATCTAAAATATATATTTTATATTAGATTTACAACGATATTGCACTATAAAATCAAATCATCACATGTTAAATACAAAAAAAAATGCATACTCAATATATTAAATCAATTAATTATAAATATAAAATTATTGCAGTTATACAATATTACAGAGAATAAAATTGCTGCACTTTTATAAAATCAGGCACCGATCAATAATATTAATAAGATTTTAATAAAAGAATTAAGAAAATATATAATTTTTACGTTAATAAATCTCTCATTAACTTTGAACCTTTGCGCAAATATACAGAAATATCAACTTTCATCATTAAAAACGCTTCTAATTTTTCTTGGTCAATATTAGCTCCCAGCTTATTTTTATAATTTTTAATTTACTAAATGCTTTCTCGCAATTATCCTGCGTAAATGATAAAGTTAAAATGTATTCATATGCCAAAAATAAATTAGTGTCACTTGTATGCATATTGTATATTTTAAGAATTATACACGCATATACATTTATTATTATACTCTGATTTATTATCATATTGTAACATTCCATCTTCTTCATTTGACTCCTCACTTGTACATGTGATTACACTGGCAAATGAACATAATTAGTTATGAAATTTAACACTCAATATATATGCCAATTGTGCCAGTTTTTCCAAAGTCTTTTCAGAAATATCTTTACTATTGATTTCATCAAAATGTCTTGGACGCAAATATTGCACATTCAAGATAAGCTCTCAATTTGCAGAAAGTGGAATTTGATCAATTATAGGACGAAATAGTTCGAACCTATAAAGGTCAATCGATTCTAGAGGACTTTCATCTTGGCATTTCTCACTATATATTCTCTTCCCTCGTCCTATTTGATCTTTTTACAGAGCATTTTGTACTCAGATACTCTCCAGTAGCTAAAATATGAAAATGTTTCATTTAAATTAGCAGCCATTTTATTGCTTTATTTTGAATCGATGATACAGAAGATTTAGCATCTTCTTTCATTTTCCATGCTGACAAAGTACCTAATTTTTTAGTTTGAAGATATGACAGTGGCCTCATTATTTTAAAAATTTCGAAATATATTATAGCTGTACTTAGAGTCTTAAATTTACATACTCTCTATACCATATATCCAAGGAATTTTTCACGTGCCCACCACCTTATCTCACCTATTTTTTGCAGCCTTCTCAACTTATTTTGGCCAGATAAATTATTCTGTTTCATCCAAGCATCCATCCTTTTATCTGATTTATCGACCTGGATTTTATTTGATTTCAATGAATTAAGATCAAGAAATGTTTGCTATATTATTTCTACAATAAATGAATGTATAAGAATATAATATAATAAATTAATCAAAACTTAGCTTTCACTCTACTTAAACGAAAACGTTTACACTTCATTTAAAAAAAACAAAGAAAGAACGTGGTAATGAAGTGTAGTGTCAAGCGACGTTATTGATATATTAAGCATTAAAATATAGTAAACGACATGACAATTCTCAAGGAATGTGATATTCAAATCATAGAGATAATTAAAAATAAATAAATGATAAGAGAAAATAATGTGAACATAATAATAATTTTTTTCTAATCTGCCTCTATTTTGATATTTTACTCTGATTGGCCTCAAAAATCGACATTTTCTTATGGCCTTGTGGGCAAAATGCCCACCGGGTCTTATGGCCAGTCCGCTCCTGGTTCCAAAATTGTCATCTTTATTTTTATATAAATAGAGAAAAGATAAAAATATTGTAAAATTTATATTACCTTTAATTGATTGGTTGCCCCCAATTACCAAGTACCAAAAACTCATGCATATGATTTAAAAAGTTTGTAAAATCGTACGGTATGTACCGATTTA